CATAAAAAAAGAACTCCTAGATTGTGCTCGTTGTATGTTGATATGATTAACATATAAAACAATAATTAAAACGCATTCAAAATTACGGACGTAAGATTTGAAAACTAGTTTTCTTTACCTCGGAATCAAATGAACCACTGATAAAACTGTGCGACAGAAACAGCACCCGTCACTCAACGCAGTGTATCGTGCTGCCACAAATCATGTAATATTATGAGAAAACAAATTCCGGTAAATCCAATTGCCGTTCCGCAGACATGTGCTGTTAAATTTAGTTCGATTAAAAAAAATAGAAAAGATATTACTCGTGATGCAAATTGGCTGAGTCCAGATTAATACAGGATGTGCATATACATTGTTTTGTTTAGTTTAGTTATATTGTGTTGTCTCGTGTCATTTGAACAAAACATATATACATATCCCATATACTCATCCGTTAAAGAAATTATTAACGCAGGATGACAGTATGTGCACCACCCCGTCATTTTTTATATTGTGATATTTCAACAAAGCAGACAGAACACATACTGATCCGTGTTTTTATTAAATTATTTTCTCTTCTTGATTCGCACTTTTTTTTGGGGGGGGGGACTTACTTATTTGCAACTTACTATTTCACATATAATCTGTAAATGTATATAGTCGTACTGTTTGTGATAACTAAGAAATATTATACAAATATTTTTTATCACATGTTAACATTCAAATTAACTTAAAATCATTGTTTTTTTTCGATTATGTATTAGACAAAATCATGCGAGCTAGCACAGTCGATTAGTTTATTGAATTATAAATCGAACTGACATAACCATAGAACGTCGCAGCACGTGAACCACGGAAGTCGAGTCAGTAGTTCCTGTGCGAGTTGAACTGTATTCAATATGGCGCCACACACAAACAGTGTTCCCCGCTGATCAAAATGACTGGGGGTAAAGGTTGATTAAGATTGATATCTCTATCCTGTTATTAACTATACAATTATTAAATTGAAAATGAATGGAAACTGAATGTAAAATTAATGTAGCCAATATATGCTTATACAGATGGTGGAAAACACTTGTTGAGCCAAAGTATACCAACTAAAATTATTGCAGCTGGTGTATGTGACCAGATGCGTCAGGAAACAGTATTATATATATTGTGTTGACAAGGATTGAAAATCATACTGTGAAGAATACGTTTCTCGAGGATAAGAAGAATGTTGCGCTTATTGATAATACTCGCTGTTGGCAGTTTTGCTGTAGCAGAGGTGACGAAGGTAAGTTTACAATGAATATTTCGTTCAGTTATCCTATTTCATACAGGTGTGTAATGTTCATCTAAGAGCTGCGGATTTCAGGTCTCTCTATAGCATAATTACCGTTGCCATAAATGTCCCATTGCGCATCTGGCAACGCTGCGGGAAACCGGACGTTCGAGCTGCTGAATATGTTTTTATATTACAAGCCTCGTGTAATCCGGTCTCGTGACGCTATGAGACAACCGAAAATGGAAGCTCTTTCTACATTTTCAATTTAGTTTCTATTTGTGAGCAAAGCTCGTTTCACAACCAAACCACCAGTCACTAGTGATCCTTAAAAAGCGTGTTGCGAGTGAACGAAAATTTTTACTTTTCAACTTTCAGGTAAATGATAATTTCACCGTCACCCACACTACCCATACTGCGACAACATGGTTACATTAATTGCTCAACCAAATAGAATAAATAAACTCTCCGAGATTATAATACAGAGTAGACTGCCCCCCCCCATATAGTCTGACGCAAAAATAGAGTAACTTTACACCAAAATCAGAGCTTGCTAATTAATAAATATAGCATAGGGAATTATCATATAACAAAAACATCGCTACGGGTTGGATAGTATTCTCACTATTATATGGCGTAGGATTGTGGAAGCTCACTCATTTCAAACGCACTCCCGCCACTCAGTAATGCATTGCTGCAATACACTGTTGCATTACCCAACGACAAGTGTTCACTCAGGATTCTGCTGTCAGTCACAATGGCCCATGTTCAATAATTTACGTAATACGAAATTGTGAAACATATTAAACAATCAAGCTACTTAAAATAACCTTGAATTCCACAGCGTTTGTGAAAACAATAGCATGTTTATGTGTGATTTTTTTGTCCTCTGAAGTTTGTGACTAGGTCCTTTTTGCTTTCACTAATCCATGC